CAGCTCTGACAGGACTATGGCTTGCCCAAGGTCATCCAGCCAGGTGCAAGTGGAGGAGTGGGGAATCAAACCCAGTTCTCCCAGATTCGAGTCTGTGCACTGAACCATTACCAGGGGTCATTTAGTAGATAAAGAGGTGCAGGAGCTCATTGGCATAACTCATTTGCATATGCCACACCCCCTGACATCACCAGAAGTTAGGAGGGAGAGCTTCTACCTGAATAAAACTTGGTCTTAAAGGTGCCACTGGACTGTTTTGGACCGGGGGGCCAGGGGGGGGCTCTGCAGCTTACCTGACTGCTTCTTGCTCTGACTGAGGGCTGCTGGGAGCAGGGGGTGGGGCTTGTTCCATGTGCCCGCCCCCTGGGCTCTTTACTGCCGGAGCTCCGCTCCTGTGCGCTCCTGCAGGAAATGGCCCCTGACCACTACACCAAACTGGCTCTCCAAACTGATTTAAATGCCTTTCTTTCTAAACATGCCTGGGTTTCTAAACATGCCGGGGCACCTGGAGAAGATTGGGCAGGGAACCCAAGCATGCTTGCATGCCTGTCCTTTCTCAGGGGGTGTGGCATATGCAAATGAGTTATGCAAAATGAGCCCCTGCACCTTTTTTTCTACGAAATGACCCCTGGTTTCCGCTCAACCTTCATGGTACCTAATTTGGCTTTTGGTTTGGGCTTGTATTCCCTTTTTGTGGCCAGGAGTCTGTCTGTGCCATGGAAAGCAGAGTGGCATGCTTCTCAGTCTGCTGACATCAACAGGCTCGGAGGGCACTGCCAGGGATGAAGGAGCTGGCCTCCCAAGTGGGCAGGATGAGGTCACCCAGTCCTCTAATGGGGAATCCCCAGGACGCTGGCAACGGAGCCAACTTTGACTCAGGCAGACGGGGTGAGCCAGCCGTGGTCATCCGGAAACAGAGGCGTGGGGGTGATTGAGAAGCAAAGGGCCAGGGGGCCAAGGGGCACCCAAGGATTCAGTGGGGAGTCAGAACCCAGCATCCTGAGAATCAAAATGTGCCACTGGGGGAGGATGTCGTTTCTCGTCCTTACAGAAGAAGAGAGAGGTTTTGAAAGAGTGATGAAAACATCTGCTGTTACCCCAGCCGAGACGCAGAAGTACGATTTCCTGTGGCTAAAGAGCAGCTGGTGTGTCCTCGCTCCTAACCACTCCAAACAAAGGCCACATTCACCTGTCGAGATGTTTGTGTGCCAACAAACAACAAGAAGAGATTGGATTTATACCAAAAAATAAGCCCTAGCAGGATTTCTATGCATTTGTGGTATAAGCCCTAGTGTGTCTTCTTGAGAAAAAATAAATATAAGACAGTGTCTTATTTTCGGGGAAACACGGTAGCACTCATCTGTATATTTTTTCATACCAGACTGTCTTGGGATTTTGTGTTATTTTTGTGGATTGTACTCGGATTGTACCGCCACCCAGCTGACTGCCAGGGGAAACCCTGCCCCCCCCCAAAGATGCCCCTGCATGACGCTCTACGTTTTGATGACACTCTACTTTTTTGGACAAAACTCTATGGTTTCTAACCGTTTTTAACCATAGAGTTTCGATGTGATGATGTCACTTCCGGAACACCCCCCCCCTTCCAAATCCCCCCGCCAGCAGGAGGAAGACACCTGGTAACCCTACACTGTACCCTGCTGGGGTCCCTCTGCTCTCCAAACCCCACCCTCCCCGGGCTCCACCCACAAAAATCTCCAGGTATTTCTCATCCCATTTCAAGGCAAGTGATGAACAAAGGTAGTTTGCCATTGCCTACTTCTGTGCGCGGATCTGAGACTCCCTGACTGGTCTCCCACCCAAGGACCAATCAGGGCTGACTCTGCTTAACTTCTGAGATCTGATGGGCTAGCCCGGGCCACCCAACTTAGCGCCTTTTTTGTGTGTTTTTTAGTATAAAACCATAAATGGGTGGCAGATAACATACGTCTCTGATTAAAAACCAAAACTCTGAATCACACCCAGAATTTAACAATATAAGGAACACACAGAAAATGCCAGACCAATGACAGAACATGCCCCTACCAACCCAGGAATCTGGAACTTTATTTTAATCCCACGCCCACTGAGTTTTGTTTTCATCACTCCTACATGGCCCAGAGGACTCACACGTCCGACGGCGATGGGTGCTGCTGATCTCTGTGTCGTTGTGCCAGTTGTTGTGTTTGTGGAAGATGTCGCTCCAGTCAATGGTCTCCTGGAAGCAGAGTTGTGGATTTTCCTGGACGATCACTCCGCCTTTCAGGATTTCTGCCAAGAGGGGAAACAACAAGAAATGGGAGAGACAAGTGAGCAAAAATGTTGTTTTAGTGGCTTCGTCCATTTCCAAAACTCGGGAAGCTCTTAGCTGAGCTGAAAGAATAACAGCATTTATACCTCCATGCTTGAGAGGAGATGGATGGCGTGTAACGACAGGGTCTCAGTACTCTCAGCATCCCGCAATTAAGAAGGGTACATCTGCCCAGGGGTCATTTCCTGCAGGAGCGCACGGGAGCGGAGCTCCGGCAGTAAAGAGCCTAGGGGGTGGGCACATGCAACAAGCCCTGCCCCCTGCTCCCAACAGCCCTCAGTCAGAGCAAGAAGCAGCCAGGTAAGCTGCAGAGCCCCCCGGCCCCTCGACCCAAAATACTCCAGCGGCACCTTTAAGACCATGTTTTATTCAGGTACAAGCTCTCCCTCCTCTGTGAGGGCACTCCCGCCCGGTCCCCCCCCCCAATAGCTAGCAATCCAAAACTGTCCAGTGGAGCCTGAGCGGTGGGTGTTGCCTTCTGACACACTTCCGGTGATGTCAGGAGGTGTGGCATACGCAAATGAGTTAGGCTGAGTTATGCTAATGAGCTCCTGCATCTCTTTTTCTACAAAATGACCCCTGCATCTGCCCTTCAATCTCCAATTCTGATATATTTATTTCCTTCATTACGTCTCCCCAGAATATAACCCAAACAAATGGTGGCCATATAAACTAAGCTTGTTATTTCAGTTTGGTCCGTGTATCTGCTAATTTGCTGCTCACCCTATGCGTACACGTATGGACTGGTAACTTCCATTTCAATGTATCTGAAGAAGTGTGAGTGCAGATCAGGAGAGGGAGGGCAGGAACGGTTACCTCAGTGCTTAGGTCTCGTGGTCCTTTCTTACACGCCCAGGGAAATGCTGATCACCACTTTGGGGCCCGGAAACAATTTGGGGTCAGGAAGCAATTTTTCTCCAGGCCAGTTTGGCTGAGGATCTTGGAGGGTTTTTTGTGTGTCATCTTCTGGGCATGGAACAGGGTTCTGTTTAGCTTCCGAGATCTGGTAGGTGTGCAGGGGGAGGTATTTGTGAATTTCCTGCATTGTGCGAGGGTTGGACTAGATGACCCTGGAGGTCCCTTCCAACTCTATGATTCTATGAAAGCTTATACCTTGAATAAAACTTTGTTGGTCCTAAAGGTGCCACTGGATTCAAATTTTGTTCTCTAGCATTTATACGGTGCTCTACGCACTTTAAAATGCTATATCCAGTCACACATATTGCTTTTTTGTAACTCTACCAACAGCCCTGCAAAGTAGGTCAAATATCCCAAATTGCACGTGGTGGAAGAAGGTCAGAAAGCCAGCAGCGGCTAGAGTGTTGAGACTGGGATCTGGGAGGCTCTGGGTTCGAATCCCCGCTCTGCCACAGAAGCCCGCTGGGTGACCTTGGGCCAGTCACACACTCTCGGTCTAAGCTACCTCACAGGGTTGTTGTGAGGATGTAATGGAAGAGGGATGCAGACTGGCCAGAGCTCGTTGGAGCATTAAAAAATGTACTAACTAAACACAAAAACGGAGGGGAAGAAAAGGTGGGGGGAGAACCCAACCCAAGATATATGAGGGTCAAGCTAACCAAATAAGTTGTTATAAAAATACAGATATTTATTATGGTGTACACATTATTATAAAAGATAAAACAGGTTAAAAGAAATGATCCAGATATCAGGCTCTTCAAACTTTTTACGCACACAGCTGAAAGTTTTACATATACAATCGACGAGTATATCTTATGACCAATGTTCTCTCTAAGTCGTGGAGTCCTGTGAGCAAAAATTCTACTTTCTGAGCTACCGGCATTAAAGCCGTGAGCAAGCGATTTGGCTGCTGCATAAATTAGTTTGCTCTGGAGCCATCCTTCCTGAGCTAAGACAAAAACGTGTGAGCTGGAGGCTAAAAAACTGAGCTAGCTCACACTAACTCAGCTTAGAGGGAACACTGCTTATGACCAGTGGACCATACACGTTTCGGCCCCTTAGAGCCTTCCTCAGTGGTCAATATTACTCTTGTAAAACAACACACATCCAGAAATAAATATATGAACAAAGATTTTCTTTAGAGCTCGGTGTTGCTATCTCATGTGATGTGCAATTGTTAAAAGTGTACACAGTGGGCCCTGGATAATCTCTCAAGGGAACTGCACATGCCCTCCAAATCGTTCTGGTAACAAATATCCAGTGTGCCTGGATGTGTGTCTCTTCCATCAAAGGTAGTAATCAAGTTACTCATTCTTTTCCCACTGACCACCTAAGCTCCCCCCCTGGGGTATCTCCTAACCAAGAAGGTGGAGACATTTCTAAAAAAAGAAATTAAAGTTTGTCCACGCATCATGCAGACGGGCCCAACATCCAGCGTGGGGGAGACAGAAAGACAAACACGGTTTTACAACTGCCACTCAACAAAACGCATGATCTCATTAACTCTTGTTTTTGTTTGGCTGGCTTGTTATGAGCTGTTGCCTGGTAAAGAGACCTAGGAGATCATCAGCTTTCAAACTGTCACAGGGACACACAACGCCCGGCTTGTGCTGAACGGGGTTCTTGGTCTCTCAGGATCAATCCTGTCCACTCTGACTGGCAGCACCTCTCCAGGTACTCAGGCAAAGGTCTTTCAGAACTCGTGGGCACTCCATGAAATTGCTGAACGGTCGGGTTAGAACGGATAAAAGGAAGTCCTTCTTCACCCAAAGAGTGATGAACACATGGAATTAACTGCCACGGGAGGTGGTGGCGGCTACAAGCATGGACGTCTTCAAAAGGGAATTAGATAAGCATATGGAGCAGAGGTCCATCAGTGGCTATTAGCCACAAGGTAGAGATAGGGACTCTGGGCCAAGTGATGCTCTGTCTTCTTGGTGTTTGGGGGGGGGTCAAGAGTGGGAGGGCTTCTAATGTCCCGGCCCCACTGCTGGACCTCGTGATGGCACCTGGTATTTCTGGCCACTGTGTGACACAGAGTGTTGGACTGGATGGGCCACTGGCCTGATCCAACATGGCTTCTCTTATCTTCTTAGGAGCAGAAGTCCATCAGTGGCTATTAGCCACAAGGTATAGATAGGAACTCTCGGTCTGGGGCAAGTGATGCTCTGTCTTCTTGGTGCTTGGGGGGGGGGTCAACAGTGGGAGGGCTTCTAATGTCCTGGCCCCACTGGTGGACCTCCTGATGGCACTGGTATTTCTGGCCACTGTGGGATACAGAGTGTTGGACCGGATGGGCCTTTGGCCTGATCCAACATGGGCGTCTCTTATGTTCTTATCACCTGGTCCCCTAGGGGTCCCCAATGTGCTGTTCATGGGCACCCCGGTGCCTGCCGCGCCTTTCCTGGTGCCCACCAAGTGGGTGGAGCCAGATGGTAGAAAGTGGGTGGAGCCAGATGGTGCTTTTGCCCAGCAAGGCTTCTGATTGAGCACTGGGGATTTGTTTGGCTCGGTGGGTTTTTAAATATGTTGCCTGGCAACTGCTGTCACCACAGCACAAGGATCTTCCCTCTGTGACTGAATTCAAGTGAGAGTAGCCATTTTGTGGCTACCTCCGCCTCCTGCGGCAGCCATTTTGTGGCTGTGCCCACCACACTAAAGCAGAAGTCCGAAGGAGAAGAAGAGATTGGATTTATACCCCGCCCTTCACTCGGGAGTGTCAGAGTGGCTTACAATCCCCTTCCCCTCCTCACAACAGACACCCTGTGAGGTAGGCGGGGCGGAATCAAACCCGGTTCTCCCAGATTAGAGTCCACACACTCTTAAACACCACACCAAACTGGCCCTCTTAACCACAATACCAAGGTGACCGCTGGCTCAAAAAGGTTGGGGACCCCTGGACTAACTAATCCTTTTAACTGGAGATGCTGAGGGTTGAACGGGGGCCCGTCTGCATGCCACGCTGATGCTCAGCCACACAGCTGTAGTCCCTGAGAACTTCCCTGGAAGCCTATGAGGAGTTCCTCAAGAAGAAGTTCAATAATGCCAGACACACTTCCCTGGGAGACAGTTAGACCATCACTGCTGGTCTTTTTAAAATATTTGTGTGTGCGTGTTTGTGTGCTTGCCTGGAAGTCATGGTTGACTTTTGACGACCCCTGTTGGATGCTCGGATGTTTTTCAGAGAGGTGGCTTGATCAGCCTGCCCCCGCCTCCCGACTGCTGGTATTCCTTGGAGGCCGCCCTTCCGAGTACTTGCCAGAGTTGGAACTACTCATAAGAACATAAGAGACGCCAATGTTGGATCAGGCCAAAGGCCCATCCAGCCCAACACTCTGTGTCACACAGTGGCCAAAAATACCAGGTGCCATCAGGAGGTCCAGCAGTGGGGCCGGGACACTAGAAGCCCTCCCACTGTTGACCCTTCCCAAGCACCAAGAAGACAAAGCATCACTTGCCCCAGAGCCCCTATCTATACCTTGTGGCTAATAGCCACTGATGGACCTCTGCTCCATATGCTTATCTAATTCCCTTTTGAAGCCGTCCTGCTTGCAGCCGCCACCACTTCCTGTGGCAGTGAATCAGCTCCTGAGATCTGACGAGCTCGGGCTGGCCTGGGCTATCCAGGACGGGGCTCCTGCTGGTCTTTTTTATGGTCATCAGGTGATGCAAGTGGTTCCCCAGGCATTTTTTGCCTGCGTTGCAGTTCAACCGCACGAAAACAATGGAGATCTGCCGTTCTTGGGGTCTGTGACCAAGCCTACTGACTCAGCCGCCACGAACGAGAGACAGCTTTGGGGTCTGGGGTGGGGTTTGGTTGCAGAGTGTGAGAATGAGCACAGTTGGGAATGCTCCAGTAACTTGGTTTCCAGTTTGATTTGGGAAATTCGGCAGCCTTTGCTGGATCAACCTGCTGGCTCGGGTCCCAGCAACAAAAACCAAGAAACGAAATAGGTGGCCCAATGCAATCAATGACTTGGATCAGCCGTGACTGACAGTGCACACTGTAAACATGGGAGCAATGTTCCCTCTAAGCTGTGGAGTTTTGTGAGCAAAAATTCTACTTTGTGAGCTACTGGCATTAAAGTTGTGAGCAAGCAATTTGGCTACTGCATAAATTAGTTTGCTCTGGAGCCATCCTTCCTGAGCTAAGGCAAAAATGTGTGAGCCGGAGGCTAAAAAACAGTGAGCTACCTCACACTAACTCAGCTTAGAGGGAACACTGCATGGGAGTACCACAGCAGTAACGCTCTGTCTATGGTATTTCCTGTTCAGTGTGCCCAAGGGCAGTGGTCTTGAATAGGGATGGGCACAAACCAGGAAAATGGAGGCTTGTAAAGGTTCGTGGGTTCTCACGAACCGTGAATCTCCATGAACCTTCCTGTTTAACGAACCGGTTCCTGGTTCGTGAGGCAGCATGGCTTCTGGGTCACGACTTCCAGGTGACCTTGCTACTTGGATGTCACTCGAGCACTGCACGGCTTGCAAAAATCATTTAAAACGTTCCCTTTAAATGGCTTTGGCAGGCCGTGCTGCCGCCACCGCGGCACAACTTGCAAGTGAACTTCTGAATTAACTTGTGAGTCATGCCACCATGGCGGCACGCCTTGGAAAAGGCATTTAAAGAGACCACGGTTTACTTCTGGGTATAAGCTTTTGTGTGCATGCGCAGTGCCTCGACACCCGCCAGCCCAGGTCTCCCCCCACCCACCCGCAAGAAAACGCTCTCCTTTCACACCTGTCAATTTCAGCATGCCCAGTTCCTGCAGTCCCACATTCCCAGTGGGATCGGCATTTCCGAGGACAGCCAGAGCGTATTTGTCCTCGTATAACTGCGTCCCCCGAATGATGAGAAGGCTCTTCAGCTGTAAGTGATGCACGTGGTTCTTGGCAATCAGGACGTACCCCTGGACCTCTCGGATGTTCTGAGACAAAGAAAGAGAGAGAAGAATCAAGGGCGAGGAATCGGTCGCTCGAGACACTGAAAGACGGGTGAGTTCTCTGCCCCCAAGCAGCCATGTGCGGCAGTAAAAATGAGAACCATGGTGACACACAACTGTCAGGTGACCTTACATGTTACAGAGTACACAGGACCGGTCTAGGTCCCACCCACCTTCAGTCAGATGTAATCTCTTCACTTTGTTGTGGGGTCTCCTCCAATGTTCCCTCTAAGCTGTGGAGTCTTGTGAGCAAAAATTCTCCTTTGTGAGCTGCTGGCATTAAAGTTGTGAGCAAGCAATTTGGCTACTGCATCAATTAGTTTGCTCTGGAGCCATCCTTCCTGAGCTGAGACAAAATCGTGTGAGCCGGAGGCTAAAAAACTGTGAGCTAGCTCACACTAACTCAGCTTAGAGGGAACACTGGTCTCCTCAATTCCTGCAGTGCCAGATGAGGACCAGAACTGAGGGGGACAAGGAGAAGGGGGTGTCGGCCTCCCCTGCGGTGCCATTTTCACAGCCCGAAATAGTCCCGGGAGAACGTCATTAGGCCTCCGGAGGAAACCCACACAGACCTCAGGGAACAGGACCGCAGTGTGAGATTGGTCACTGTTGGTTCACGGAAAGAAACGTGAGGCCGAAGGATAACGGCTCGCCCACAGCCGCTGAATCAGATCGAGGCCAGGCGTGCACCCAAATGCAGACTTCACCGGCCCGGGGCTACCGCTGATCAGTGTTCCCTCTAAGCTGAGTTAGTGTGAGCTAGCTCACTGTTTTTTAGCCTCTGGCTCAGACATTTTTATTTATTTATTTATGTATTTCCTTCTATTTCCTATCCCGCTCACCCCCCCCCCCGGGGCTCTGAGCGGCTTACAATTCTAATTAATTAACACAGTCCTAATCTTGGGCCACATATAGGTAGGGAAGTGAGAAGCCTTACCAGGCACCCTTTATCTTAGCTCAGGAAGGAGGGCTCCAAAGCAAACTAATTTACGCAGCAGCCAAATTGCTCGCTCACAACTTTAATGCCAGGACCTCACCGAGTAGAATTTTTGCTCATGAGACTCACTCCACGGCTTAGAGGGAACATGGCCGCTGATTCTGATTTTCTTGCGGTCCCACTGTTTTTATCACATCCCAGGCAGGCAGGCAGGGCATCCTGCTCAGTGCGGTCAAGGCGTGCCAAGGTAACCCTGCCCACGAAACTAGGGTGTCTGCTCGAGGAAGTGGGGGCAGCCGCAGGAGATGGCACATGGGAGCTACTAAGTGGGCAGGGCTTCCACAGGGGATGTTATCGGATTCCCCTGTGGGTGGGAATGAAGCAGGAAGCCACGATGGCGCAATCCCAGCACCTGTCATTTTTTCACAACTCTCCGAGCATCCGCTCTCCGTCTCTGTACAGGAAAGGGAGGGATAGCCACAAAGGGAAACCTGCACCCACTTTCTCCGGTTCCTTCCCCTCCCCTGTTATCACACACAAACATTTTTTTAAAAAATGCTTGCGCTTCCCTCATCACACCCACCACGAGAAAGGAGGTGTCCACGTCAGCCGGCAGATAGGTGATCTCCAAGTTGCCTTGCACAACGTGGCAGTTCTCGTACAGCCGCCGGAGAGTGGCATAATGGTTGACCGGGCTGGACGGTTGCTGCAGCTTCATGTCTGTTCCTGTGCATACTGAGGAGGAGGAGAACAAATGTCAGTGAGGCTGCACTCAAAGGGAGCGTTACATGGCTCCCTCATTTCCATTTTGGCCTCACGACCCTTGGAGGTAGATTAGGCTGAGCAACGGTAACTACCCAAGGTCACAGCCCCTGTCCTCCACCTCAGTCAAGGCACTGCTGGATTTACAGTTACTTGCTCAGTAATGACTTGCTCCTCTTTGTTACCCTGATATCGGGCAGCTGGCTTTTATCGTTCTGTATACCCTTTGCCCTTGCCAGAATTAATTAGACAAGAAAACCACATATATGCTTTTCAAAAACTACACATGCCCCACTTTTCCCCACAGGATTCTGGCAGGGGGGTGTCCTCTCAAGACATCAGGTACGTAGTCAAGCAGTGACAATTCCTCTCTCACCACTAAACTTATTCAAATTATATTACTTCTTGACCTCTTCACCTCAGATGGGAACCCCTGTGCCAGGGAAAGCTATTATTGAGTTTGTGTGTGTGTCCAGGAGATCCCTGAAGGACCATCTTTTCATTTCCTAGTTGAACTGAAGGATCTATTACAGTCCAAGACCAGCATTTAAAACATCAAGTGCCAGAAATTTTTACGTTTAGGAAAAGCTACAGAGATGATATTAAAAACAGCAGAACCGTTTCAATTAAAAAATCCAGCCAGCTAGCACACGACTCCTGCTTGGAGCTTGGAATCCATCCAATCCCAGCCGGAAACGCTGTCTTCCTTTTCAGACACCCCCCCCATACATGTCTTCCTGTGCTCCTCCCCCCTATTTTGAAAACTTAAACCAACTGGAGTATGGCCCGCGGCTTAGACAGAATCCTCCCCCAGATTTTGGACACCAAAGGCAAGGGAGAAGGATCAGTCACTATAGGAAATGCCATACGGTCCTGTTTACTCCACAGCCAGTTTCAATCGTTTCCGACCGGCTTCCTGCATTACCCCAATGACTTCCAGCCCAAAGAAATCACAGATCCTTAGCCTGACCCTTCAAATGCTGAGGGTTCAGAAAACTCAAGGTTTACGAGGGACGGACTGGTCAAATGAGCAGTTCTTGGAAAACAGGGTGATGGGCTTTGCTCTGGAACAAATAGATTTGAACTTGGGGGTGCAGAAGCAACCTCAGAATCCTGTGCCAAACGAAACGATTGATGTACAGACTGGGATGGTTCCCCATAACTAAGGCACGGAAACGGTCCTCCAAAGGCAAGCCACGATATTTTAAAAGGAATGGTTAAAGCTACTTTAAGAAAGAAAAACCTCAATGCGTTTTCAGCCAGTTTTTAGCCAGTTTGGTGTAGTAGTTAAGTGAGCAGACTCTAATCTGGGAGAACCGGGTTGGATTCCCCACTCCTCCACTTGCAGCAGCTGGATGACCCTGGGGAAGCCATAGTTCTGATAAGAGCTGTTCTCTCAAGTACAGTTCTGTCAAGAGCTCTCTCAGCCCCACCTACCTCACGGGGTGCCTGTTGTGGGGAGGGGAAGGGAACGGAGTTTGTAAGCCGCTCTGAGACTCCTTTGGGTAGTGAAGGGCGGGGTATAAATCCAATCTCTTCTTCTTCTACCTCACAGGGTGCCTGTT